AAGAGGCGGGCAAGCAGTCCTCTCCAGGCACAAGTGGCGAAGGGCACTTTGTCACAGTGCAGAGCATGTATTCTGCCAGGTTTCTCCTCTGCTCAGCCACTCCGAACATGCAGGGGATCAGAGTCACCCTGTCTAGATCCCTTGCACCTGCTGCACTGCCTGACCCTGGGCTGGGATGGAGATGATGAGAGACAGCCCCTGCTGCACCCCCTGAATGGTAAGCTAAAAATATTAATGTAAATTTACCCCCACCTAATCATAATACTCTCCCTGCCATTATACCCTAACATTTGTGATGGGCAATTGTAGGTATAATACACATTGCTAAATTGTATTTCTTTAAACTGCAACTGTTTCTTTAATTAATAACCTTCTACCTACTTTCAGTACACAATATGTTTACGCCATCTTGTCTTAGATTAATGCAATAACAATTCAAAGCTTTGCCTATGTCAACCTAACTTCTAGTCCAAATAAAGTTTAAATATGTCTAGGTTATGACAATAGACTTATAAGGATGTTTTCCTTTTATTTTTATATATGAACTGCTTTTAACCCTAAGATGAATTGACCAATGCTAGGTTGAGACTTACTGACCGACACTGGAGGTGAGACATACTGAGAGATTACCTGTATAATCAGGAGGGTATGTTATACTAATACTATTGCAAGCATATATTCATTTAATTCTATATACTCTATGTGACGAACTGGACCTCGTCACAGGTTCTTGGAGGGGCATACTGGCCAGCCTCTTACCCTCTGACTATGGCCACGTGGTAGCCTATGTTTAAAAACAATGTTTGTGCCTCTTGGACTTATAGCAAGAACCAATCGAACTTTCAAAGTGGCACGTCGAACTGTCGAACTCCCGAAGCCATTCGAAGTGGCAATCGAACATGTGGCAAGGGCCATCTTGTTTAGTCAAACGCATCAAGCGGTGTTTGGTTGTCAAGTGCATGGAACTCAAATCGGACACTCGACGGCACGAACACCGCCAAAACTTTACCTTCCATGGAGGTTCGGCTATTCGAACGGGTGTCAAACCTCTTTCAGTAAGAAGATGCCCCAGAACAAGAGACATACACTAACGATATCCACAAATGTCTTCATTCGGTAATTTGAACGTTACTTTGAACCCTTAAAGTAGACCGGTGGCACAGCCTAAATCTCTGGAACTGTTTTGGACATGAAACCATGCATGCGGTCAGTCAAAATGGGACTTCCATAGAACTCTTGAACTACTGAACTGATCTGGAGGATTTTTGGATATGTTGGTCACCCAGATCAGGGCTTTCAGGGGATATATAATTGTGGGGATTTTATGTGTTTTAGGCTACTTTTGGGGTTTTGTAAAATGTGTGATTTTTGTGTTTGGAGATAATTGAGTTGAGTATAGTGTCTGACTCAATTATCTCCTAAGTAAATTGGATCTATATATATATGTGTATATATAGATCCCATTTACTTAGGAGATATATATATAGTTCGGTAGAGGCAAAAAATGCATACAAAATTCAAAGTATAATCAAAGAAAATTAGACCTGTGCTGCAGATTCTCAACACTGAAGTCCCAACAGTGTATATACCACCAAAAAACAAACAAGAGTTCCGTGCATCCAGTATAGGTGTGCACACCCAGGTGCTACCACAATTTATTTGAGGACAAAGTTAAAGCAGCAAACGTTTCAGGCAGCAGCCCTTTCTCAATGCTAATGTCCTACAGTATATGCAAGATAACAACAATGTATACAAGAAATAGTGCTTACATGACCCAAAAGTGCCACCCTAAGGTAATCAAATCTTGAAGCAGGATCAGATGTGCAGTACATTTCCATCACTCTGGCATGTTTGATTCCAGTCACTTCCTGGATTGGCAGAAATGTGCGTGATAACGTCATCAAGTTAAAAAAAAAATTAAATCGTCTGGAAATAATAGCAAGGCAGCATTTTAAGCTATCAAAACAACACACAAATGTCAGCAAGTGATGGAAAAAGCACACTTATGACCATCAGAGTAATTAAAGAAACAGTCATTACTATAATAAACAAATGCTTGAGCACATATAAATTCATAAAGCTATAAAGCATGTTTATAAAGATACAGTTAAGTTTATGCTAAAATCTGCTAGCACTGAGGCAAATATACAATTGCAATATATATATATAATATGCAGAGCCATGGAGAACAGAAATAACCACACATATTACCCAACCAGTGAAGTGTATAATACAATATATAATGATTTAAGTAGAAAAAACTGAAATATATAAACAGAGATCACCTTAACTATGTTATAGGGGTGAAAAACAGAGTATCATTCCAGATGTTATAAGTAAGAGGGACTAACTGGCTGGAGACATAGCAAGATCATGCACTAGTAAGATACAAAAGTTATATACATACCCTGATTCAGGGAGCATCCTGAAGCCAGCGCATAGAAGGTGTACCTAGAGGAACCAGTGCCACTCAAGCTTCTCATTGAGACCATGAGGTGACAGTGTATCCAGGAGGTGCATCCAGTGAACTTCTTTTTGCAACAATATTTTTTCTCTATTCTCTCCTCTCGTAGGTGGGGGTACCCTTTTCAATATTTGGGAGACATTATGTCTATTTTCTCTAAAGTGTCGCGCGACTGGTGTATCAGAAGTAGGACTACGAATTGCAGTTTTGTGCTGAGACACATGATCTTTAATGGCATGAATCGTCTTGCCTACATAGCCAAGCCCGCATGGACACTTGAGAAAGTAAACTACAAAATCAGTTTGGCAAGTAAAAATCCCTTTTAATTTGATATGCTGTACTGTCCTGGGGTGGGTGCAAAATTCCCCTTTGAGTATCCCGCTGCAATGATTGCAGCTCAAACAAGGGTATGTTCCATGAACAGGTTTGGAGATAAACATCAGATTTTTTGTGGTCGGAGAGTCCGCCCTAACTACCATGTCTCTTATAGATCTCCCCCGCTTATTAGCAAATATTTGGGGATTTGTAAAGAGATGTCCTGTATGTTTGTCGGATTGCAATATAAACCAATTCCTCCGTATGATATTTTGTGTTTGAGGTGAAAGTGGTGAGAAGGTACTTACAAATGGGATTCTATCCTGTTTTGGTCTGTCAGTCGTAGAGAGCAGCTCTTCATGGTTCATACCCAGAGCCTTGCGTTTGGCCTTTCGTAAGAGGCGGGGGTGATACCCCTTGTCCGATTTTTTTTTTGAAAAGTCAGTCAGACGTTCATTCACTATGTTGTCATCACTAACAAATCGACAAACTCTCAGGAACTGGCTGTATGGAATAGAACAAATCTGCTTAGGAGCATGGAAACTATTCTTATGTAACAGACTATTAGAATCTGTAGGTTTTGTATATAAATCAGTGCACAGGGATCCATCATGCTTACCATCTAGTACATCCAAAAAACTCACAGCAACACTGCTAGTAGTAGTAGTAAACCAGTTGTCCCAATGGCACTGATTTAGAAAGACCAGAAAGTTATCAAGATCAGTCTGGGTACCATGCCAGAGTAAAAAGCAGTCATCAATGTACCTTACAGCGGAGAGTTTGTCACGTATTATCCTCAGACCTTCATCATGGGGTATAGAGGTATAAAGACTGGACACATCTAGTGTCACCAGTAAGTCTGTAGAGTCAACCTATAAATAGTGAATTATTTGTAAAAAATCTTTAGTGTCTTTAATATAAGAGGTGCCAGCAGTCACTAGGGGTTGTAGAAACTGGTCTACAAAAATAGCTAAAGGCTGAAAAATTTAATCTGTCCCAGCCACAATGGGGCGACCAGGGGGATAGCGGGCATCTTTATGGACCTTTGGCAATGTATAAAAGACAGGTGTTCTGGGGAACTTGTTAAACAGGAAAACCGATTGTGAATTTGTAACTATTTCCTCCTGGAGAGCCCACTCTACTACGGTTTGAATTATCTTAGCCACATGTGCTGTAGGGTCATTCTTTGGGACTTTATAATTAGTTCTCTCACCCAACTGTCTCATAATCTCGTTATGGTAATACTGTTTATCCTGAATCACAATCAAACCGCCTTTATCGGCAGGTTTGACTAGGATATCTGGCTTTTGTGCAATTTCCTTCTGGGCAGTTTTTTCCTGAAACGTCAAATTATACTTAATACCTTGTTGCTGCCAGGGTAATTTTTCTACGTCAGAGCCGGAGGTAACTATATTACAGAATGTTTGAATAGAGTGATTTGGAACAACTGGAAAGAATGTGATTTTCTTTTTACAAACCTCCAGATTGACTGTATACTTAGACGATGTGCCCGCTGAGATGTCATCTCCTGGATGAGGGCTGTCTTGCTGGCATTGGGGTTGCTGACCTGAAAAAGATGCACACAAATTAATTAAGCAAAATCATTTTTGTAAATCAGTTTTACAAGAGAACAAGTCAGATTTAAAAGACGGTACAAAATTTAAACTTTTGCTTAATGCTGACATTTGAACAGTAGCTATTACTTGTGGCTTTTTTTGAGGGTCTCGCTACGAGTCTGCAGCCTGTCTTTTTTTTTGCCTGGAGTGTCCCCTGTTGTCCCTTCTTGTGTGGAAGGAAAACCTAAAAAAGGCGTGTCGTGGTGTTGGTAAAAGAGGCTTCTGAGTCAGATCCAGTTGTAAAGGATACCCGTGAAGAGGTACGTGTTTGTTTTTGCTGGGACCTGGGTCTTGTTTGTTGCTTCCATGTATATACACGTTAAATTGATAGTCCAGGGGAGCCTGCGGCCATACTGTCCAGACGTGTCTTACAACAGCTCCGTGCCAGCCAGAGAAACAATCGGTATTAAGGCGTACTACAGCCACATTTCTACTCACCTGGTGAGCTGACCCTCTTCCTCCACCGATGAGGCGTAAAAATAAAAAGTATAAGGCTATAGCCGATATCGTCAATCTCCTATGGAGGTCGCAATCTGCCCTGAAGCCTCTCATGGCGCCCATTTTGGACAGGCCATCCCGCTCAACTGGCAAAGAATCCCTAGCTGATGCGACTACTGGTCGGGAGGAGGAGCACTGAGAAACCCAGAGCCCATGCAGAGGGCCCACCTGTGACAGAACGTACCTTGAAAACCCTGTTAGATGACCTCCGACGCAACATAGCTGCTGACATTACCCTATTTGAGGAAATAAGAGGAGTATCGGGGCGACTACATGACTCTGAAGTCGCCACTGCAGCCCACGAGGTTCGCATTGCCAACTTAGAAAAAGAGCTAAGTGAGCTGAAATGCACCCAGGCACAGATCCAGACCCGCATGGCAGCGGCGGAAGATCGCCGGAGGTGGAAGAATATAAAGATGCGGGGTTTACCCGACAATATCGCAACGGCCAAAATCCCTCACTTATTAAGCAGGCTGTTTACCCAATTATTCTCTGCTAAACAATCCAAACTTGTGGCTGTAGATGGCTGTTTTTCGGCTGCCAGCACCTCTAACAGGCACCAGGGGAGAGCACAGAGATGTGATCATTCGCTTTCAAAATGGGCCTGATTAACAAACTTTCATGAATGCAATTCACAGCAAAACACCCTACAACTTCGAAGACCACAAGCTTTCATTTTATCTGGACCTCCCTAGAAAGACTCTGACCTGGCATCGATCATTGAGACCACTAACAATGGAACTTACGAAAAACAATGTGCCCTACAAGTGGGGGGCCCCACGGTGTCTCTCGATACCCTTCGATTCTGGGACTTTGAAAATCATGGTCGCCTCAGAGATAATTGGTATACTACAGCAGCTGGAGTTGTCTCCTACTACAGTGGTCTCACGGTCCCCAACGCATCGGCCTCAACCCACTGCCAGGGATCCAGCTGGGGCTTGCCCTTTTGTGCCATCCACCCAACAGAGTACCTCTGCACCGACGGCGATCTCTTGAGCACCGATTCTGCACCTGCAACCATTTCTATTGTTCTTATGTTTTCTTTTCTTTTTTCTAATGCATGTTTGCAAGTTTATTAATATTGTTCCATATGCCTAGACAGGAAATACACTCCTCCACACAACACCCGCTGGAAGTTATCCTCATAGTTACAGGAAAGTGGGTGATAGCCCCTAAACCTATTGTATATGTCCTATGGTTATGATCCTCTTGAGGAGTAGAGGGGCACACAGCCTATTCTTCCCTGCTAGGCCATATACTAGCACACAATACACTCTTGAGGGGTAGTAGGTTCAGTAAAACCGTTCCAAACCTAACTACTATTACCAAAACTCCTCATTCCTACTGTCCAAGCTACAGGTTATACTGGCATTAGTGTCGTCGGGCAGCACTTGATAGATTATGTTTTGGACGCTACAAACACACAATGCCTATTCATGTTCTCTATACATAAAAATGTGCTGAACAATGTATACACTGATTATTCGCTGATATGTTTACATCACTGTATGTTTTGACATGTATACGGTCTTATCTTTGTCACCACTAAGCACAACAAAAAATGGAGAAAAAAAAATTGATAGTCCAGAGTATCTCTTTTAAATTTCTGAATTTTCACCACTTCCAATTCCTTGCGTAGTTTAGATACAGACACTGCAATTTCTTGAGTGATCTTTTGGATCTTTTGGAGTCTCAGCTTCAATTTGTGCAGATAATAGTAATGATATTTCGTTTAGTTGTGTTATAATCTCGTCCAATTCCTCATGCAAACTCTCCACTGTTAGAGCAAACATGCCAGAGTGATGGAAATGTACCGCACAGCTGATCCTGCTCTAGATTTCATAGAAACATAGAAACATAGAATGTGACGGCAGATAAGAACCATTCGGCCCATCTAGTCTGCCCAATTTTCTAAATACTTTCATTACTCCCTAGTCTTATCTTATAGTTAG